TATAAATTGTGCTATTCGCGACAATCGAGAAATCGCGGACGGGCGAGTCTGATTCTTTTTTTACCTCGAGAGAATTAATAATGCATCCCTTCTGGGATAAAAGTAACGACGTATCTATTTACTAAGCGTATCTTTTAATCGAATACGATACATTGAGACATATCTTCTAATTAATTTAACGTAAGTGAGTCTAGAGGTATATATAAATATTATACATATATATAGCGAATACATATCAACAGAGAAATCACTCTTTTATCAGATGGTAGATAATATTTTGGTATATAAAGAAGAAAAAAATGTTTAATATTCCCTCCAGATGTCAATTACGGTCCAAAGTAGGGCCTGGACCGAGGGCAAAATCCGAGGGAACTTGTGTGTTTTAGTGAACAATGGAGCATATCAGACCGGAGGGTCATGGCGCGCCGCGAACATCCCTTTCTCTCTCTCTCTCTTATTCTTTCTTTTTCTCTTTCTATCTATCTCCGCCTCTTCGCTGCGTGCCTTGACTCTTTGGCCCCAATTTCGAGTCGTAAGTCATAAGGTCAAATCTATTTCCCCCGAATGCGGCAGACCGGAGTTCCACCGATATCTGATATATACATATGTATGCCACGTATCGAGGGCGCGTTACTCATTATCTTGAAATGATAAGAGATTATATTTTCCTCCCACTCTCTCCCACCCTTCTTCCCTGTTTGTATATTTCCTTATTATAATTTATGCATCATGTTGCAGATATTTAGCCACGAAGTATGGATGAAGCTGGTATCAATTTGATATTCTCTCACTGTTTTACTGATCGACGTTCAAGCAAGTAATATCGATATTTTTCTCGATTGAATTAAATTAGCGATATTTTTATTTAAAATACATTAAATTATATCTCATAATTTATTACATTTCATTGACATATTAAATTTCTATTAAGTAATTATTTTAAAACGCATTTACTCTTATTCCTATACTAGACTTTTACAAATCTGCCACCTGCTCTCTTATAATCCTGATTTAAAATTTAAACAGCGACGCAACTGCATGGTTTCGGAAAAATTGTCGATCCGTCCACAGTTTCGGTAACGAGTGGTCGCTCAATGTCCTATCAGTGCCCTTTGACATTATTATGACAAAAGGTAACAGAAGGACTCGGCGCTGAATGTAAATGGTCAGGATGAAAACAACGTATTGCACAAGGGGGATTATATCACGTCATAATTTTTGTGTATGGAAATTAATCGGTTTCAAAATTGCGTAACGTGACAAAACAGAATTATAATAACAATTTAATATTGAACAATAGCTTAATTAAACGATGAAACAGTATTGTTTCCGCACGCGCCTTTTAGTTGCACCAAATTCAGCAACAAATTTATTACGTGTTATTCAAATTCAATTTCCAATTCAACAAACCCTTTGTACCTCGCGAAATTTACCGAAAGAGGAAAAATATGCAATAATTGAGTTAACAGAACGTACGTATGTTTTATAGAGGCGTTTTTTTTTTTGCATAAATTTAAATCTACGCAAGTGAATACTGATGTGACAGCTCTTATGAAAATATTTCACTTAGCTATTATTGCGCGCGATAGCATGGTCAACTGATTGACTAACGAAGATACGCGGTGCTTTTTATTTTTTTTTCTAAGTACACGTTTACGTATACGCGTTGTTTCGTTGCTCTCGTTGCTCATTTACATCGTGGCGTTATATTGTTGTTGTAATATGCGTATGTATACATCGCTAAGTAAACGTTAAGTTAATCAATAAATCGAAGTGATTATATACGAGAGACGCATGTAACCTTGTCATTTCAAACTGATGGTACGCACGCATATGTATGCATATATACGATCTATATGTAGAAAAAGAAAAAAAGAAGATATTGACTACTTTAATTATCAGAGATTTCAACGATGTGATAATGTATTAAAATATCACGCACCGTCGTATTATCTGTATATGTTACCTTTCGACTTCTGATTGTTCTACTGCCAGTCTCTTATTATACGTCAAGTTACACGGCAACTTGCGACATTCTGCTGTAAGTAACCATCCGCTTCTTAAGATTTTGTACTCCTTCTCTATTCGATTGAATGCCAAGCGCACTTGGGAATGATTTTGTCGCAATAATTATAATTGTTAAATAAAGTGAGAACGCTTCTTTTCAATTTTAATTAATAATTCTAATGTCTCCAATTATGCATCATGCGACACGATTTCACCCGTTAATCGTGCATGCGAGCGTGAGCGTATACATTGTAATTGCTCGATGAACAACATGATTAGTTACGAATCTGCAGGCTCTGCCTGCATAATCACAATTTCAGAAGAAATTGCTTTTTACTGTGTCTCACCCTTTGCATTTATTTGCGCTGTTTTACTGGCGACGTGATGCGATATTCTGATCTACAACGTACGGCTTTTCATTCGACAGAAATACTATGTCCGTTAGAAACAAGAATTGAATGAATCTCGCTACTTCGGATTGCGTGCTAGAAAAATATTGAACGTCGTGATATTACTTCAAACAGCTTGTTTTTTGGATCGTTTAAACAATAAAATATTACGGAAAGACTTCTGAAAAGAGTTATCTATTTATTTTCATATAATCCATATTTATGCTACTACATCAATGTCACAGAAGGTATCGTTTAAATATATATATAATATCTTTCTTTTCTATGTACAAGTAGAAGTTGATAATGAAATGAATTTTTCGTCAGTCGGTTTCACCAGTTCGTATTTTTCGGTGACTCCACCAAGATTGTTCAATTCTCTGACCAAACTCCATATATTGACTTTACTT